TTGCATTTTTTCTTCATATCATATAGAAGATAGCATTCTATGTTACGTATACAGGAGATGGAACCTATTCAGAGGGAAATTCAGCTTCTCAGAAAAATTGCCGCTTAGCAATTAATCGATCATCGATCGATAAGATGAAACAACTATTGATTAATGAATTACTCGATAATTTGCATCCCTAATATACACACACACACACACACACACACACACACACACACACACACACACACACATATATATATATATATATATATATATATGTGTGTGTGTGTGTGTGTGTGTGTGAAAATTTCAGGTCATTTTCAATTTTTAATATCATTAAGAAGGGGTCCTATAATACAGACGTTAGGACTATATTTATGAAAAATCTTGGCCCTTTCAGCCACCAGCAGAAGTGAAAATTATTGTCTGAATTCTGGAGCAGTGATCTCAGTAACTTCTGTACTCTATGTTTCTACTGTCTGTAATTACTAAGAGGAAGAGTGTTATTCACACAAACATTTTAGGAGAATGTATATATTGTAGATACATATATACATTTTGCATCCTGTAATTGCATTTTTTGTTGCCAGCCTGTAATCATATTTCTGTACTACTAAACATTAACATTTTGCTTCCCTTTCCATATTTTGCTGTCTTTCAGCACACTAAAGAAGTCACTGGACTTTTTCAAAATGCGTAAGTAATGTAGTTACACAAGCTTTACTGCATTATTTGACCTGATTTGAAGTGGCTTGTACTGTTGATTCTGAGTTGGAACTGACTCGTATTTTATGTTTCTCTGTTGCATTTTTGAATGCTTTCCTAAAAAATGGTATTTCATTCATTTACTTCTTTGTTTTTTGTTTTGTAGAAATTGAAAATGTGGGACTGTCACACCTTCAACTGGCCCAAACTATGCGGGATGAGGCTAAGAAACTTGAAGATTTCCGAGAAAGGCAGAAGGAAGTGCGAAAAAAGGTTAGATTATGAATTTTAAATTAAAATTAGTTATACAGGGGTGTAATACTAGGGGTGGCATGGTGGTGTTCGAGTCTCTGCCTGGGTTACGTGTGTGTGGAGTTTGCATATTTTCCCCGTGTCGTCGTAGGGTTTCCTCCAGGTACTCTGGTTTCCCCCTACAGTCCAAAGACATGCTGAGGCTAATTGGAGTTACTAAATTGCCCATAGGTGTGAATGGTGTGTGAGTGTGCTCTGCCCCATCCTGGGTTGTTCCCTGCCTCGTGCCCATAGGCTCCAGACCCCCCACAACCCAGAAGGATAAGCAGGTTGGAAAATGGATGGATACGTAATACTTTAGTGTTTTCCTTTAAAAACCTTTATGCCACAACTATAGTTTTTAATCACTGTCCATATCTGTTTAAACTGAATACCTATTAATAAATTTAGGTAGAACAACATATGGATGCTTTACACAAGCAGACGGCAACACAGTACAAGAAAACAGTGGAGGTAAGATGCATTTTTCTGAATTAGCAAATACGGAACCTACATTAAGAATTAGGTTAGTGTATAATCATGTGTGTGACTCTGCAGGTTAGGTGTCTGTGCCTATGTCTGATAACTTGTTGGTTCTAATCCTATGGAAGAATTCTCATATCACCCTTGGGCCACTGAGCAAGGCCCTTAACCCCAGCTGCTGTAGGGCTGCTGATGCCGGTTGACCTTTGCTCTTTGACCTCAAACATTTCTGGCTTGTTTCTAACTTTGGGCAAAAGTGCCTGCTAAAAACCGTAATAGGTAATTTAAATATAACGTCAACTTGCCTTTTGGCATTCCTCTATGAAAGTGAATGGAGACCCAAAGACTGCTGCACCCTATGTGAAAATCCTTTAATAAGCATTTAACTTTTGCTCTGTAAAGTTACTGTTCTCTTTGAAAAAATGAACCTCAAACTTAACTAGCCAACATTTGTGCTTCTAAAAAATGGCAGGTGATAATAACCTGAGATTCATCTGACCCTAATTGACAAGTTGTAGCAGATAATTTGAAGAAGAAGGACCTGTTTATTCATGTGTTTTTCTCCACTGCTGTTGACAGTCAAAGAAAACCTATGAGCAAAAGTGTCGTGATAAGGAGGATGCAGAACAGACAATGAACAGGAATGTTAGCGCAAGCAACACCAAGCAGCAGGAGAAGGTAGGCCCTACTGACTAATAGTTGTGACTTATGGTCTGTATACAGTGACTTGGGAGGAGTATGTTGCATGCTACCTTTAGCACCAGGAAGGTACTGTATGTAAGGAAGTGGCTACAGAAGCTCTTCAACTTTGCGCATGAAGTTGCACCCGTCATTATTTTGTTTGATAGAATAATGTTATGTATTCATTTTCCAGTTGTATGCAAAAACGCAGCAAGCAAAACAGACTGCTGAGGAAGCAGGTAACTCAGGTTTTAAAGTGTGTTGTTGCACTTTTCACTGTGATAGGACAGGGATGCTTAGTAATCAATATTCATCTACAGACAGAATGTACAGCCACAATGTAACCATGTTCAACAAGATTCGAGAAGAATGGCTGAATGAATACATCAAGTCATGTGAGGTAAGAGGTTGTGCTCTGAGGGTGAATGGCTATTATCAATAGTTGCAATTTTCTGAAATGTATGCATATTATTTTGCATATTATTATGCCTATCTGGGCCTGTCCCATTTGTTTTGTCCCCGTTTGGCCAGCAGGTGTCGCTGTCTATCCTGTTCCCTCTGTCTTGTAGCCCTAAGTCCCTTGTGTGTTTCCCTACTCTCCAGGCTGCCATGTAGCTCTATGGGTTTTGTGACTGGCTCATAAGCTGACACCCCTCTAGTTATTGGTTTGAGGCTGGTCTGAGGCCTGCTTCAACTTTTGTTTAACTTATTTAACTTAAACTTATTTTTTCTTAGTGTTTGGTATTTTTTATGTCTGTCTTTGCTTTGTGTCCTTATTTTTGGTTTACCCATTCCCGGTTTAATTCTGCTCTGCTTGTACCTATGTTCCTAGTCTTTCTTAGTCTTAGCCCCCAGTGCTTGTCAATGCTTCATAGTTTCTTGTGCTAATTAATTGTAACTTATTCCACCTGTTTGTTGTCCCGTGCCTGTCCTGATTGGTTGATTTGGATATAGTCCTCGCCTGCCCCTTGTTAGCACCGTTGTTTGTATGTATTTAGGTCTATGTCCTCGTCCTGTTTTTTGGTTAGCCATTATGTTTATGATGTGTATTTGTTACTGCATGTTTGCAGCTTTGGTTGTTCCCTAGTCCTGCTCTCTGTTTTGCTCGGTTTGCTACCTCTTGACTCCTCATGGCCCCTTTATTTTGTTTGATAGAATAATGCCATTGTGTTAGGTTTCTCTTAGGTTTCTCATGGCCCCTTTATTTTGTGGTTAATCCCATTGTGTTAGGTTTCTCTTAACCCCCTTTTCTTGGACCTGCTCTGTAGATCATTCCTCTTTGTAACCCTGCTCCATGCCCTGCCATGACCTTATTTGTTAACTTATAAGTAATTTGAACACTTGAAATCTTAATGGCTCCAACAAAACTTTTCATACGATTTAAATAGTATTTTTTGTTCAATTACAATCAGCATGGCAGTCTTTTGGGAATAGATTTAATGCATACCGATATCAGTGAAGGATTTTTTGACTGACTGAAGGAAAGCCAATTAAATAGCAAAGAAATGGGTGAAAATGTTGGCAATGTGCTCTTTTACAAACTGAAGTGGTTTGGATACATAGAACATGCTGAATAGATCCATCCATGTGTTTGTTTTCTAACCAAGTCAGGGATGCCCTGGAGCCTATCCCAGGCAGCACAGCCCACAAGGCTGGAGTACACCCTGTTTGCTGGGATTCCAGAATATAAATTCTAGTGTAACATGATAAAAAAATGTCAGTTGTGTCCTCTGCATAGATGTTTGAACAACAGGAAGTAGAGAGGATTAACTCCTTGCGGAACACCATGTGGACTCACCTCAACCATCTCTCTCAGCAGTGTGTTACCAGTGATGAGGTGAGATTGAAGTATAGCGCCTGTTTTCACAAAGCCTTTGTGTGTTTCCGTGTTCCAATACCACACAAAAGTTCAGTAACCTTTGTGGCGATTAGGGCTGTCACAATGTCAGATTTTTTCTATACGATCATTGTGACCAAAAGGCGTACATTTGAACAAAATAATAGTGATAATAATGCTATTAGTCAAATTCATCCCTAAATTTGTTTGTGTGTTTCATCTCTTTTTTGGCAAATGAAATAAACTCAAAATATGGGTGTAATGAGGTGGAGGGTCTATAACCATAACTATTCAAAAGCGTACAAAAAGAACAATTATACTACCAAATGGAGAGTGAAAACACAACCAAGATTAAAAAGCCATTTTGCATTTACTGTTGATTGGCACTTCCTGCAGACTGGGATCTCTAACCTCTCATCTGTTTTACGAAACCCAAAAAACTCCCACACTGGGGTATCTTGCTCTCGTCTGTCATCTCCTCCGACATAATTTTGCACAGAGCACACAGTATTGTACCTCACACACCTGTGCATCCGCAGCACTACACTTTACGGTATATTATATGTCAGTGCCTGACTTGTACCACTTCATTCCAGGACATTTTCATGACCCAATCTGATCCCATTAATATTTCTTTTAACGACATCAGCTTCATTTTACGGACTGCTAGTAAGGAATCTCCACCAGCCCAGTTTGCATGAGTGCATGTTTATGGATCTCGTTACGTACACCAGTCACGGTGTATATGTGACTGTATATGTTTCTCATGGCTGTGATTACTGTGCTGCAGCAGAGTCTGTAGATTATGCCAATAGGACAGACAACTGGAGAAATGTATGTTGTTTATTCTTTCCATTTTTTTTCTGATCCCACTGATTTGGAATGATATAAATATAAATATGCCTTAAAATGACAAGCAATGAAAATGGATTTTTTTTTCAGTAAGCAGAATTCATTAACACCAGTTCTCGCTAAACAATAGTTGTAGTTCGCTGTAAATGAAAACAATACAGTTTACTGTGGATGGCAGAATAAATGGATCGAGCAATGCCAGAAAATGTAATGTGGTGAACACATGCTCAAAAATGCTATGCATGCACAGATGTGTGAGATATAAATCAGGCAGGTGGTACAGATCAGGTAGTGACAGTAGCTGCTAGCTAGTTAGTTGCTGCATTGTCTTCTTTTTTTATTTAATGGTGGAAACCAGCATTAAGGAGCAATACAGCCATCTGCTATGTTGTATGAACCAGATAGGTATTGGTGCTGGATTATTTATATTATAATTAACACAATATCAATTTTTTAATATCATGGTTACTGTGAAAGTGATATATCGTGACACCCCTTGTGGGGATTAATCCTGGATGATGATGTTCGTATGTATTGAATTCAGTCAGATCCATCTTCTGCTTCTGGTTTTTGCGTGAGGGTTCAGTGCACAGTTAAATAGTTAGCTGAAAAACTCCATTGTTAAGTTTTGTTAAACATTACTATGTAAATCATAAATATATATTTCTGATGTGTTAAAGGCAAAATAACAGAAAGGAATGCAAAAAATATTAAGAAATAAAAAATAAGTACAAAAGTAACATGGTTGTATTGGCTAGGTAGCATCTTAAGTTTTGTGTGTGATGACTTTTCTCTCAAGGAGAAAAGTACAAATCATAAATATAGTAACTGCATGAAATATATGAACCGTTGTGATCGATTAATGATGAATGAACATAGGCTAAGTACATAACTAACACTGGTGAATTAATACATTAAGTAAGAGTGTATTACTGCATTATCTGTACCCCCTCAAGTAAAGTGTTACCCATGCATTTCTGGTCTGCAATTCTTTACTCTCACGCTGCTTGTTGTACACACTGTTCCTCCTACATAGCATGAATAATGAACGGAAGTGGTTTCCAGTAGATAGCAGTTTGATGGCTTTTCTTGGTGACCTCTGCTTTTGCTTTGATAAACATGCTTGCTCTACTTTTGAAGGATTGGATTTATAAAATGTCTTCTCCTGCCAAACCTGTGTAACTGTAATGATCTGCCACACAACCCGTTGACACTTAAATGATTTACGCATCTATAACCTAAATATAGCAAGCCTTGTACTGGCTTTGTGGGTTTCAACTCACAACCCTTTTCCTCTTTGTGTGTGTGTGTGTGTGTGTGTGTGTGTGTGTGTGTGAGTTTGCGACTTTTTCTTCCACAGCCAAAATATTTGCAATTCTGTATCTTCGTTAAGTGTGCTTCTGTGTGATTCTATTAGATGACTCTGAATGCTCTGCCATAGATCCCTGCCTGCTGTTTCCCAAAATTCCATCTAATATGACGCTGGCGTTTTACCTGTGTAATACAAAACGCACACGTGTTAGAATGCATGTAAGATAATTCAGGTAAAAATGGAAGAGCAACTTTTATAATAAAACAAAACTCTTTCTGTGGAGAGCAGATTCTAAGTGACTAACTTTGGTTGTGACGTCAGCTGAACGAGGAGGTGAGGAAGTCTCTGGAGCAGTGCAACATTAAGGACGACATTGAGCACTTCATCAACCTCAGGAAGACCGGTGACAAGCCCCCAGGTGCCACTCTCATATCCTCCTGAGACCCAAGGAAAAAAGTGTCCTTCAATTTTAGGTTATTTGTCTTTGGAGGAAATAAGACATCTTACAATTTAGATTTTTTCAAATTTATTTTTATTTTTAATTTCACAGCATGTCCCCTTTAGTGTACAACAGGAATAAATATATTTCCTTACATCAGTGAAAAGATAGATGCAAAAACAAAACGTCTACTACAATGGACATAAATGAATGGGTGGGGTCTCAGGAGGTTACAGAAGGGGGATTAGAGGATGTTAGGGTCAGAAAAAGCCTTTATTTACAATAAACCAACATCAACTGGGGAAAAAATGCTAATAACTAAAATGTGCTGCCCCTAGTACCACTGTTTTAGGACCAAGCAGCACACGCTGTGCACTGTGCCTTTATTTTGTATGTTATTCGTGTCTCTGATTTTTATCTACTTCCTACTGTATGCAAACGAATGTCCCTCTGGGGTCAATGAAGTATTTCTTATTGTACCTGATCTCCGTAAATTCGGAGGCACAAGGATATTGCAGTGCGACACAACCGTCCTCCATTTTCACTCGCCTGAGCAGTATTAGTCTCAGCTCCAGGGGACCTTTGTCGGACATCTTTTCAGTAGCACGTGTTGAGCTTTTTCTGTGACCGTTTTGCAATGTCATATCCACCTGCTGTATTTTAATCCTGCTTTCTACCGTATCGCAACAATGTTATTGCCACCCTCGCCTTCCATCACACCCTGACTTTCTGTATCAGCTCCCATCACCTATGAAAACTTCTACTCCAATCAGAGGGCTTCGGTCCCGGGTCGCACAGGACCCCAGGTTACCAGGTAAAAACTGTATCCATCGAAGGGTGAATTAAAAGATTTAAGATCTGAGATTTATAGTAAGGCATGCTAAAATGCATATAATATAGACATGTAGTTGAAATATCTTTGCTTTTACTTTGTGTTTCAGAAGGAGACCATTGCCAGGGAGGGCTGAAAGTATGTGAATTTTCAATATTCATTGCAGTATTATTAGGAATGCCAGTCATACACAATAATTAAATTGTTAAACCTGTACCAAATGTTCTCTCTCATAGATAATGTGGCTTCAACCACTGATGATCCTACCTACAGTGTAATACAATACTAGCAAATGAGTAAGTATATCCTGGGAATAAAACATTGCAATCATTGAGTACCTTTTGAGAAAAGATGTCTAGATGTACATCTCTACATGTATTCTTTCTATTTAAACAGAATGGATGTAATTTAGTTTTTTTAGGAAATTTACAGTAAATGTTTTTTCATTGTGGAATGTCCAGCTCAGATTTCTGATAGTGGAGTATTTGTATTTGAATTAATATGAAAAGGATGCAAATTGTGGACGACTAATGGATTAAAAAATCCATTCATAGGTGAATCCATTGTGACCAGGGAAGACGCCTGTGGCTTATGGGTAAAAAACACTGGTACCCACACTGGTAAAAATGTCATACAGTGGACTAGTGGAAGAAAATGGTTTATTGCATATTATATATTGTATGTTGTTACATGTTAATGATAATTGTGAGTTTATGTGTTGTAATGTAGACTCATTTACATAAAAATTAGCTTAATTGTTTATAATGTTTTTCTTTAACTTGTAAAATTTTGGATGTGTATTGCATCCATTTATGCCAGGGGTAGCCAATCTTATCCGCAAAGGGCCGGTGTGTATGCGGGTTTTCGCTGCAACTCCCTAATTAGATTACTAATTAGAGGACTGATTGGCTGAAAGAGTCCTCACACCTGGGTTTGAACAGCTGACCTACAGGTTATCCCAAAAACCTGCATACACACCGGCCCTTTGCGGATAAGATTGGCTACCCCATATATAATTTATAAGCTATAATGGCTATATTTGTCTATTTTCTTTAAAGAATGCTGTTAAATTATATTAATGAAATGATCAGGTAATGAGACGGACACAGAAATTATTCACCCACAGCCTGCTGAAAACTCCACACACGTTTTCCTATCCTGATTCAGGGAGCGAGGTACCATCAGCGGTGGAGACTTCAGGTCCAGAAAATAGAAATCCAGACCAAGACTTTGTTTCAACCAACCAGTTGAATACTTTGTGACTGCAAGTTTTTATGCTAATCTGGTTGGTTGAAACAAAATCTTGGTCTACATTTGTAGTTTTTGAACCTGAATTTTCCACCTCTATGTATCATTTGTCTTTATTCACACTGGAAACCCAAAATGGACCAGTTGGGAGACACCACTCAGATTCCAAGCAAGAAATTATCTCAATATTTGATGTTGCTGTTTTTGATGTGAGTGCATCTTTCTGCATTTCTTTTCTTGAACAGTCAGTTGCACTGTACAGTGCAGTTTAATTACTGAAGACAGTCACCGTCTGTGTCTGGTGTATAACTATCAGCAAAACAATGGGAAACGCTTCACATTAACTGCACCTTCATAATGTCCTTATAATGTATTCATAGAACATTCAGTGTACCTCCATAATGCATTCAGGATTGGGAGGTCACTGGTTCGAGCCCGGCAACAGTAGAATAGTCAGATCTGTGGGCCCTTGAGCGAGGCCCCTACCCCAGAAACAGCCTCATGGGCCCCCCTGCAGGTGGCTGCCCTTCCCTGCCAACTTGCTCTCGCCTACATGTGTGTCTGTGTCAATGAGGGCAAGATGAGGTAGAAAAGAGAGAATTTCTTCATTGGGATGAATAAAGTGGCATTATTATTCGTAGAACATCCTAATGTACCTTGACCGTTTTAATATATAGTCAGAAACATTATATGATACACATTATATTCGTATAATATGTTAATATATTAAAGCTGTGAAAGTATGTTAGGATGTTGATATAATTACATGCTGCTTGTGAATGCATAATAAATGTGCACCGAATGCTTAATGAATGGTGCTGTTAATGTATAGTATTACCAAACAAGGATTATACGATCGTTACACTGTAACTTATAAATTTGGTAAGGGGCTGTATGCACTTTTATTGCTGTGATTTAAAAGGCAGACTCCATTATCTTCCATCCACTTATCTATCCTGAGCAGGGCCCGGGAGGGTGGAGTCTGTACATGCCACAGAGGGCAAATGTTCACCCCGGATAGGATGTGTTTGGTTATAATGCATGCTTGTTTTTGCCAATGTAACATTTATCTTTTCCAAAGAGGTTTCGCCTCACTGGTCATTCTGTATAATCCATGCATTTATTTGCAGGGTAGTGGATTCCTCTGGGAAATATACTCACATGCATGTCCCTCTGATTCAATATCATTGCTACAGCAAACTCATGAACATTTACAATAGTAAATGCAAGCCTTAAAGTGATTTTGTTAGATAAACACTGTTGAAAATTAAGAATGGTATTGAATTTTAACCATTTGTACATAAGTTCCCTGACCAAATGAAGTCCAGACTCAAGAATAAAAGTCAATATGACTCAGGGTTCTCAAAAATCTGTTTTTATCAAGCTGTTTCACTAATCTCACTAGCTAACCTGCACATGCCACAGGATCCTGGACAGAATCCCTACACAATAACAGGACATTATTGTTTTTTTCACTGAATAGTAAAACTACTAAGACATTCAACATGAATAGCAAAGTCTAAGTACACAGATTAAAGCGAGAGTCAAAAACATTTCCAGCAATTGCTAGACTATTTTAGTCAGATATAAAAGTTCCATATTCATTGGAGTTAGTACATCTGAATCTCTGAAAATAAGCAGTAAGATATTGTATAATATAATATAGTGTGAAATACAAGCATTAACCCTGCTCTACAAATATGTGCGCGTGCACACACGCACACTGCATAAAATGCACATTTATACAAACTTACAATGTCATTAAAAGATTTATTTGAAGTTCTGTTGTAAATATTGAACAAAATAGAAATAATAGGCTCATCATTCATTCAGTTTGTTTTGCTCCTTGGGATCCATGACTATCGAAGGTCCGTGATTCCAGGGTCAAACGGTCTTCTCCATTTGTATTAGTTCTGTTATGATCTGTATAGTTTTTTCATCTGCAGTGGGGGGAGGAAAAGTTAAAAAGTTAAGTTATTAAAGAACAGAGCTGCGAATAACGGCACCCAACATACAGCATGCAGCACATAGTATTGTCAGACAGCAATTCATTTTTAAAATATTCAAAACGCCTGGCTGTTGTAGTCCTAATGTATCAAACACAGACTTCAGTAAAATGTGTAAATGAACATGACAAAAAATACAATTTTGGATCAGAGCATTTGCAAAACATAACACAAGAATAACACTTACCCTGCAGAATGTTTCAGATGCTGGGCTACATAAAATTAAGTGGAAGTAAAGAAAACTACTGTCTAAACTACTCGAATATTACAATTTGTCTGAAAAATCACTCAATGAATATTCCTTTGTAGTTTGCATGCCTTTTGTCATTTGCTATATTCGTTAAGAGGAATGGCAAGTATGTAGACCCAGGTTATGTATCTAGTTTTACATTCTTTTTGTTTCCCAAGGACTTCAATCAATAGTAAAAACTGACCTTCAAGGTTCATTTTGGGATTCTCAAGCTTCATCTCTAAGAGTGAGTCAATCAGCTTTCGTAGGTGTTTGAAAATCACCCCTATTCGAACTGGAGCCTGAAGAGGAGCAAATGAGAGTTGAAATAAATTTGCTGGTACCAAGGACTGCAAGGCCACTGAAATAATTGGGCTATTACAGTTTTTCTCGATTGCTATGGAGCACTTTTCAAAAGAGTTAAACACTGTGTAAAACACTGAGTATAATCCCCACACCATAATGTCACTTCTGCACAGCAGAACATCAGTTCTCATTGCTTCACACATATTTACATACGATTTAGTACATATATGCAAATGGATTAGTACAATTTTAATAATTTGGCACGATTTTTAGTTGCTTTAGCCATGTTGGTCAAAATGGATTATGTAATTTCCACTGGTATAATTTTACAACTAAAACATATGCATATATAAGATCATCGTGTTAGCCAGCACATACAAAACAGTTAACCAAGGTTTTAAAATGATTCATTATATATTCCATAAATTGCAATGATACAGCGTTGTTGTGTTTTCGGCTCCGGCATAACATGATTTGGTTGATCTTGTATTTCTATTTTGCTGTCTTTGTGTTACACAGTGCTGTGACTTTTTTGCTTGCTATTGCACTGTGACTTGAGATCTGAAAAATGCATACAAGTGCATTCTTTCAACAGTGATCTGTAGATACTGTAAAATAGAGCTTAGCAAAGGTGAAATGGGAATCTGACATGAATAAATATCTGCTGAAGAAGAATGATCGTTCAGTGACACTGAGAAGGTGGGAACAGACTATTACTCAGAATTGTGGAGCTCAGGAGCATACTCACACTAACATACTCACACTGACATACTGACAATGTTTCTAAACATTTTGGTGACACTGACTAATTCATTGGTGGAGTTATTTCCGCAAGTTTTGGGTGAGTTACAGGCTTTTGCAGCTAAACCACAGTGTTGCACTATATGCTTGAGAAATGCACCTATAGTCTTGATAATGTAAAGTATATTTCATGAAATACGCCAAAGCAAATCGAGAAAAACTGTAGAAGAAAGTATATGACAGAGATGTTTTTTTAAGCAATGCCTTAACCTGGAACTGAATCCAGCTGTCCAGGGAGACGAGTCTTTCACGATGAAGAACGTCTATGTCTCCCCCAAACAGCAGCATTGGGAAGGGTGATATCAAGGTGGTATCCCTTAGGTACACCTTCGAGTACTTCACCTGTCAATAAAACATGGGGACTTTTGGTTATGCTTCATTCCTCCCAGGTACAGATCCCAGTGGGGGGACAACATGCCCCTCCCTCAATATTTAATTTAGCTTTATTTGTATTTTAAAATCTGGTAACATTTTACATGATCTGCACTTTCATGATGACTTTTGTATGCATGTATTGAACATTCAGTGTATGTTCATAATGCATTCATAAGCAGCATGTAAGTATACCTAAATATCCTAACATACCATCACAGATTTAATATAACAAACATTATATCATAATATGATTATACTGTTTATCATCATCATATAATGTTTGTTATTAATGTATATTAAAGTTAACATATGTTAGGATGTTAAGGTAGGACCAGTCAGTCAGAACCTATATAAGTCTATTTGGTTTTAGTTTGCCCTTTATTTTATATGCAAAAATCATCATGTATAGTTTACTGTATAATAAAACATCATCAAAAGTCATACTGTTCTTTGCTGCCAGCAGTCGTGGCCACATATCTGCCATCTCGGAACGGTCGGAAATACCACCAGTCATACGTTGCATGGGTTGTAAATTAACAATGAGCTGTACTTACAAGCTGTTTATGAACGTTACTAGGACAGCCGCGATTGGTCGGTCAATGCCGAAAATGCATCATAAATATTTAAAACCGACACGTTTTTTTTTTTTTTATTATTTGAATAAAATTACCCTTTTCATTTGTGAAACGCTTCAATACATTATAACAAATGCTTTCTTTAATATCACTGCGTAATTGTGGGAGTACTTCAAATCATCACGAAAGAAAAAGATGGTTTTACACTCTGCAAAGTGTGATGGCGTACCGCAGCGGCGTTAGCGCTATGCATGAGCACCTGAAGAGGAAACGCACAGGCGCTATTCTGGATGGTGGGCGGGCCGCTACAGTGGGCAAAAACACCCAAAGTGCTGTCTAATGTTTATTAAATTAGCACTAGAGTGGAGAGGTTTTTAATATCTTTTGTCCCTGTAACTGCCAAATACACTCATTATTAAAGCAATAAAGTTGCCTGCCTGCTACATTAGAATCTTCATTGAATAAGTATTTGTGAAAATGTTTAGGCTAAAATCTGGGCTTGTTCTGCGTTGACTGACAGTGCCAGTGAGTTTGCTTGCTGTAAGATTATAAATGAAGAGATATTATGAAGGTGCAGCTAATGTAACGCGGTACCCAGTCTCAAACGCTACCCTACACATTTGACAGGGTTCAAAAAGGGAGCGTATTTGACAGCATCGTCCTTTGTGGTGCTGCTGTGGTGCCGACAGTGAGCAGCAGACATCTATGTCACATCAGGAAAGTGGAAAATAAAAATCATGATCTTGAGATAACTACTTTTGACATCTTGAACACAAGAAAAATAAGCTATGATGAGATAAAGCAAGTCTGTATGCGCCTGTATGAATTGCATAATGTTTACTTTGATAACCAAGCTCTACATATAACCAGCTAAATTTAGCAAGCAAAAACTCTAGCAGGTGCTTTAATCCAAAGTGACATAAAATTAGAACAATTGTGCTCAAGGGTCTTGCTCAAGGGCTCAATGCTGAAATCACACTGCTGATCAGAGGATTTACACTGCTGATCAGAGGATTTACACTGCCGATCAGAGGATTTACACTGTCGATCAGAGGATTTACACTGCTGATCAGAGGATTTACACTGCTGATCAGAGTATTTACACTGCCAATCAGAGGATTTACACTGTCGATCAGAGGATTTACACTGCCGATCAGAGGATTTACACTGCTGATCAGAGTATTTACACTGCCACCCTTCTACTCATGCCACAGACCACCCCGACGTTATTTAGTTACTCTGAAGTTATCAGAAGCGGCCCATTCTGGACTTACTTTTTCTTGGTAGAGCAGCCAACCATATGTCTGTAGGGTGCGATTCACTGAGGACGGGTGCACCTGAGCCTTGCCCTGGGCAGTCTCCACAGTGCAGGTGGTCTGTTCCAGTATGTCCACCGATGGGGTGTACAGGATCCGGCCGACGCTATCATACAGGCCTGCGGTCAACACCGCCATCAGGAGGGAGACCTGAGAGGCTGGCAGGGGAGCCGAGTCGACCCGCCCCCGGGGGCGCTGGGCCCGCTGCGCTTTGGGGGTGAAGAACCCAGCTTGGTCCATCATCCTCATCAGCTCTTGCTTTACGTCCTGAGGGCAGAAAGCACACCACATGAAGGCCATGCCAACCGATGCAACAAAAACGTATTTTCCATTGGTGTTTATGGCCGGTACAGAAGTGGAATTTTATAGAAATAACCTCAATGGTCAGAAGGGCATTGCGATTCAGGAAGTGTTTCTTGCAGTATGCCATCTCGGCACGCAGCCCCTCGCCACGCGCACGCTTCCAGCTGAAAGACGGAACAGAAGAGGAACATCAGCAGCCTCTTCCATCTGTGTGCACTTCCAACAGCTTATCACAGGAAGGAAATGTACATTGGATGGGATTATAGTCCATCACAAGGCACATATACCCACACAATGAAGACACACCAGTTAGATTATCTGCATGAGGAAACCGAAGAACCCAGAGGAAAAACAAGTAAACATCACTCACACATACACACTCACACACACACACACACACACACAAACTGTAGTCATAACTTTGAAGGCACTCTCCATTCATTTC